TTCCTTCCTTCCTTCCTTCCTTCCTTCCTTCCTTCCTTCCTTCCTTCTTTCTTTCTTTCTTTCCCTTCCTTCCTTTCTTTCTTTTTCTTTATTTCTTGATTTCTCTTTCTCTCGCATCCTTCCCTCCCTCCCTCCTTCCTTCTTTCCTTTCTCTTGCCTTTTCTTTTGTGGCCAACAAGCTTTACTTAATACTTGAAGATGTGGCAGCGGTCAGAAGTCATAAAACGTCACACAGAACCATCTGTAAGTTATTCTCTAGCCGTCCACGTCTTTATTCTGGGAGGGGTCAGAGCGCTTCTTGTTTACACGGCCACCTTTGACACACCAGGGCACAGCCACCAAAATGAAGAGCTACCATCCAGCCACCAGGCCTGCTCACAGTGGTCCCGGCAACACCTTTAAGATGTAGGACCCGGCTCAGGGTTGTGAGTTGCTTTCTCTTAGGTCTCTTCAGTCTCCTTTAGCCTGCAATGCTGCTTGGTATTTCCACAACCACGGTGCTTCTGAGATGCTGAGGAGTACAGGGCAGGTGGCTTCTGGAACTTTCTCAGCCTGGGTCTCTATGATGTTAGACTAGGGTTTGCCAAGTCATCCTTGCGTGTCCACTCAGGTGGTGGGATATGGAGGTGGACCTCCCACTGGTGGGGCCTAGGTCACTGGCTCTTCTTCCAGCCACACCCTCACAGAGCTGCTCAGGTCACCTCTGTAACTAACACACAATCCACAGGGGAACTCGGGACGCTTGCACATCTCTTGTTATTTCACAAGCTTGTTGATAGCACTGTGGAGTTCTGGTTTGATACTTTTATTAAGTGATTTATAATCCATTTGTGATATTATGATGCTGAAATAAGCTTTAATTCGGTCTTCTTCACTTATTTCAGCTTGGTCTATGTTTTTTTCTGATAGCTCCTTGCCATTCTTTTGGGTTACTTCCTTGTTCCCTGGCACAAGAAGATGGACCATATTCACACATTGCCGTCCTCTCTATGTGCCTGTGAGTCATCTGCCACAGCGGCCACGGGACATGCTAAGTTCACTAGGACTCTCCCTTCCAGTCTAATCCTTCTTATAGCTTCCTCCTGTACAGTGGGAAGCTGCCTGGAATGAGTCCACCGTTCTCACTCATTTGAAGCCTGTGAGCTTGGCTGCCATCCCCAATAGCGCCAACCTTCAGACCCTCAGTTTGCACCCTGTCTGTCCTTGGCACTTGCTACAGTCCTTTGTGCTCTCCCATTCCCTTCCCTACCCACTGAAGACACCCTACCCTGCTTTGTCCACTGAATGGCTCAAAGATAGAAGGTTTTTTTTTTTTTGAGAGTGGAAGAAGAATGATGTCTAAAATGTGTTTTGCTTTAACCAAATAGTTCTGGATGAGCAGATGGGTGTGGTGATTGCGCTTGTGAGGGCTAGAGTTAGGATCCTCAGAATCCAGGCATGAAAGCAGGCAGGCATGGTGGTTGCTGTAATCCTAGCACTTGTGACACAGATGTGCGATCCCCAGGGCCAGCTAAGGCTAGCCGAGTTTGTAAGCTCCAGGTGCAGCGAGAGAAAGTATCTCAATAAACAAAGAAGTGGGCGACTGAGGGAGACACCAGACACTAATTTTGGGCTTCTCCGTGCATCCATGTGCCTGTACACACGAAAATGCACATATATTTACACCTTCCCCATGAAAACATATAGATCTCTGTATCTGTAGCCTCCACACCTGAAAATTCAAACTACTGAGATAAGAAGCACTAAAAAACTGTCTGCACTTTTTTTCTTACTCCCCAAACAATATAATGCGCCTTTTTTCCCTTCAGAAGTGCCGAGCGTCAGGTCACTTGTGATAGCAATGGAACAACAATGCTGATCGCTGTTATTCTCCTTTCTCCCACCTGTGCTTCCCCAGAAGAGATTTGGTTTTCTCCTTGGCAAGTGGGGGAAGTTCAACAGTGAAAGAAACACTGGACCGGAAGGAACACCTGGGACTCGGAGGGCATGGAGCAGATAACAGCTAGGTTTTCAGGAACCAGTTTTCAACTGTGCAGACAAACGTCTGCCTGGCCACAGGCTGGACTATCAGGGCTGACGCGGAACGGCAATGCTGGCTATGTTGGAATGCATCCTAGCTTGAGCGGACTCCAGGCCCACTGGGGTGGTGTCGAGAGCCCGGAGGCTCTCCTGGCCTGCACACCTGAGACTGGCCAGGAGACACGGAGACCTCTGTTCTTGGTGTCAGAATTTATTCTTCGTGCTCTGGCAGAGAACTTTTCTGGGCTGGTACCTTGTCCTTCAGGACAAAAGAGCAAAAATCAAAGAATGCATCTACTGAAATTTCACGGCCAGATGTGCCTGGTTGGTCCAGACTGCTTTTCATTCCACAGTGGAATGCTGGAGCTGGCCCGTAGGAGCAAGCTTTCCTTGAGTGCACACAGTGTGCCAGGCCTTTGCACTAAGAACACACATAGTGGTCATGGAGTCCATTGGGGAAGCACTGGGTGGTTTGATGACTTCTTGCTTCCAGTGTGATTTGAAACCACACACTAAGTCGGTTACAGAAAAACTCTACAAGAAGCAGCTGGTGTTTCCACAGCCCCGTGTATGCAATGGCAGCCGTGGCAATGACTACTGTCACAGACCACCTCCAGGTCTGACTATTCCCTGAGTCCCCTAGTTACTACTGTTTGCGTTGTATGAGGAGCCTGAGGGAGACAGGGCTGAGCAGCTCTCATGAACTCACGTGTAGAGAGCTTGGGTGCATGTGTCCAGCCTCCCCTCCCCTCCCATGTCGCCTCATTTATAACATACACTTTCTGTCTTCTGCTATCTGGCTGGCATGCAGGGTCATTCACCCTCCGCCCCAAGCTCTCTGAGGCCCTGAGTGGCCAGGAGCTCCGGAAGACCCATGGAGACCAGGGCAGCACTCACCCACCACCCGTGCCGCTGCCATTCTTGCTGAAGTGTGTGCGAGGCTCGCTGGAGGCCAGTTTTAGCAGCTCTGTCCACTCTCGCTCCCATTCCTCCTCAGTGTACACCAGCCCTGACTGGCGCGAAGGGAAGCTGGTTCAGGAGGCAGTCGCTGTTGCCTGCCTTCTCCCCCTCCTCCCACCCAGGCAGCAGTACCGATCCACCCAGCTGAACCTGAGCCCCACTAGGACCCAGCTGGACACATCTGTTAGTGTCCCCTGCTGGTTACGCTTATGTATTATGAATCAATCCAGCCCTTGATTTCAAAGCTGGGGGGCGGTTTCTAATCATCAAGGCCACTCCTGGGTGCATGTTACAATGAGTGAGCCTGGTTGGGGCTGACCAAGGCACAGTTCAAAGGGCCACCAACCCATTTTACCCCCAATATAGGCAGATTTTTCTTGTGGAGAAAAGTGGTAATGTCACCATGGCCAGGGGCTGCTGAGATTTCCTCTGGATCGAGGGGCCAAGGGCTTCTCAGATCAGTGCATGACTATATAATTCATGATCGGTGCTGGGGCACTGTTAAAGTGAAGGGAGGCTCTTTCCTAAGCACACCAGCATGGCGGGTGTAAGTAGGAATGTGCCGTGGTCCCCCTGGGCTGCACTGTTGCAACAAGGCTCCCCTGGACTATACAGCAGCACAGGCAGAGGCTGCTCCTGATGTGGATCCTGTCTCCGGCAGGGGTGGGCACAAACCTCCTTGTTCTGCTGTGTCTGCTGCCACCTCCACCTCCGCTTCAGGGCTTCTCGCTCAGCACCGGTCCTCATCATGGTATAGAGAGCTTTCCGCAGAACCAGGTCCCGGTCGTGAAAGCCCCACATTCCTGCAGCCAGAAGGCCATGAGGGACAGAGAAGGAAGGGAGGTGAGGAAGAGAGGAGCCTAAGGAAAGTCAAAGGGTCACAGCCCAGCGGGCTGGCCTCCCACATGGGCGCACAGGAAGGAACTACCATGCCAGGCAGCTGTGTCTCTTCACAGACTTGCAGCCCTCCCCCACCCCCATGCTGTAACTGTGCTTCCCATCAGCTCAGATATGGGAATGAAATGGTATTTCCTGTTCTAACACAACAACAGCAGGTAAAGGGTGAAGGCTGCCTCTCTGGGACCTAAGGCCACCTACCATCTCCTGCAGGTTTTCCTGGGGAGGCCAAGTGCTCACCATAGGTCTTGTGTTGGGTGAGAGAGATGGGGACAAGTTGGTGACATATCCTCATAGAGGGCCCCATATCTGCATGGCCAATAGGATTCTGGCTTCCCTAAGGCCCACTAGAGATGATAGGTGAAGTTCTAGGATAGGGCATCTGAGCTCTCTGAGAAGCAGTGTCATTTGGTACCACTGCACATGTCTGGGCATTACAGGGACCTTGTTTCCCTGGAGAAAGACTCCATTGAGCTAGGTGCCGAGGGATCAAAATGAAGAATCATCTATCACTGAGTACATACTGTGGGTGGCTGGGACCTAACCAATGAGAAGAGCATTGAGATAAGCTACAGCCATGGCTGCAGGGGGAAAAGGAGAATTCATCAAGCTATCAAAACACTCTTACACCTTTCTACCATGCATCCATCCATGCACCCACCCACCCTTATACCATCTACCCAGATATCTACCTACCATCCATCCACCTACCTACCCACTCACTCATTCACCTATTTATCCATCCATCTCTTCATTCTCTATCCACCCACTCACCTCTTTACCACCCAGCCCAATCACACCTTCATCCATCCATGTATCCATGCATGCATCCATCCATCATCCATGCATCCATGCATGCATCCATCCATCCCAAGTGCTGGGAATATTCACGGCAGAAAAACGTTCCTACAATCTGTGAGCATCTACTGTAGAGAAGTAAGAAGTGAGGTAGCTATTAAATAGCACATAATGTACCATGTCCACAACACAAGGGGAGACAAAGCAGGCAAGAGCAGTGCGACATGTGCCTTCATGGTGGTGTGAGTGGATGGAGGTAGCCAGAAAAGGTTCCGATGGGTGAAGGAGGGAGCTGAGTTGCCATGCCAGGCAGAAGGCTCTTCCCAGGCATCGGTGCATTTGAGACAAGGCAAGTGTTTGTAAAGGTGGTGAGGCCCACGATGGAGGGCATGAGGCAGAGAGGAAACAGGCCAGCCTGAGGATGAACTGGGGGCTTCTAGAGTATGATGCAGTTGACTGTGGTCTGTGAGCTCTAGATAGGCAGTAACCAAAGACTACCATGGGCATAGCACCATCTCAGGTTTGTGTTGACTGTGGTCTGTGAGCTCTAGATAGGCAGTAACCAAAGAC